ATAATATCAGAGGTGGACTAGGAAATGCAAGTTTTTTAGAAGTTTAGAACATAAAAGAAACAGCCTTAATAGGTTTAACATATATAGAATGCTATAAGGAATACACCTATGAAATTACATTATATAGTTTTAATTACTTAAATGGAAGAAATGGTGTTTAAATTGAATCTAATCCTATTAATGATTTTGAATCAATTTATAATTTGATTGAATTATCCCCAGCATTTTTTGGAATATTTAATCTTCCTCAATTGAAAATAGATTCTTTTAATATTGCAAGATGTTCTAGTTTTCTAAGTGAAGCTTATATTAAAATATTTAATCCTGGTGTTATTGTAAATATATTTAACATTTCTCTTTCTACTCTCCATTAGACTGGTGGATTAATTGAAGGCAGAGGATGCACTTTCTATTTATGGAATACTATTTTAGATTTTAAAAATGAAATAAAATATGATGATTATGAGGCTGAGCAAGTATAAATATATAATGCATTTTTGCATATTAGAAATTTAACTTTAAGAAATTCAAATTCAAGATTTCTCTCCATTAATGAGTAAAGTGACTTGATATATCCCACAATTGTAATAATTCAAGATTCAGTATTTGAGGATATAAACCACCAGGCATTAATATAAGTATTTGGCCCTGTAAATGTCTTTTTAATAGATAATTTGCGCGTTAGTAATATTACAGGTTAGATCATCTAAAAATTAGAATCATAAAATTTACCCATATACTCAGATATATTGATAAAGAACTCAATATTTTAGGATATTTTTCCCTCGCGATTTAGTTCGAATTCAATAAAAAGAAGGCTCATATATATTATTAATAAAGATACAAATTTAACCCTAATAAATAATACGATTTAATGTTCAACTAAACAGCAAAAAAAAGATTTAATAACTTAAACATTGATTGACCAGACTCTAATTGATTAAACTTATGATGGTGGGATTATATATATTGCAAACTCTATCTATGGTCTTACTACTTATCGATCAAATTTCATTTGCATAGATCCTTATACAAGCAATAGTGTAAGAATTACTGACTCATAATATAATGATTTTGATTCTGAATTTAAAGATAGTGTTTCAAATTAAGGAGGGGCAATTTCATGTGAAAAGTGCATCTTAAATTTGACAAGAACAGCATTTAGAAATAACTTAGCACTATTTGGGGGAAGCATTTATGCAGAGTCAAATGTATCTATAAGCTTAGAAAGCATTTAGATAATTAATTCTTAAGCATTAAAAGAAGGGGGCTTTATTTATTTCAAAGAAGGTGTTCAGCAAACAACTTAAAAAGCACTATTTAAACTATCAAATTCAATAAATATATAAGAAACCAAGTCGAGGCATGGTGATTTTTAAATACTTAAGTGAGTACACTTGAGATGCAATTTAAAAATGTCACTATTAAAAAAAGTATGTCTGATTAATCTGGAGGCTTTATTTATCTTAATGCTGGCACAAAATTACTAATTGAAGATAGTCAATTTGAGGATATAAATTCTTTAAATGGAGCAATTATAATTTCTTAGTCTACCAAATTATAATTTAGCTTGAAAGGAACAAATTTTATCTGTGACACTTCAAAGGAATTTATTTCAATTGAAACAAATTATTAAGAAATAGATTCAAATATATATTCAGCTTCACCTTTTGTAATAAATGATGCTGTGTAAATCAATTCCTATAAAAACTCTTTCAAATACTGTGGAGCTTCTTCTTAAGGTGGTGTATTTACTTTATAAAGAACAAATTTTAATGATGAAAAATCTACATATTTGTATAATGTTGGTTATTAAGGTGGTGTTTTTAATTTGTAATAATCCTAAGCAAGAATTGTGTAATCAAAATTTAGCTTGAATCAAGCATTAGAAGGTGGAGTTTTTTTGATTTAATAATCCTCTAATTTAACTATAAAAAATTGTGAGATATCTAATAATCATGCATATTAATCTGGAGGAGCTCTTTAATTATAAACACTTTCTATATTAGCTATTTATAATACTGAATTTTACTAAAACTCTGCTGTATAAAATTCAGTTTTGGATATTAAAGGTGCAAATAGAAGTAATGAAATTTTGATAAGCAATTCTAATTTCATTGAGAATAAATCTTTAAAAATAGCAATATCAATATTAGATTCAAATTTGAAAATTATTGGGAGTTTATTTCAGGATAATATAGCGTAATTAGAAACTAAAGGCATTTTATGCAGTAAATCTAATATTATAATTGAAAATTCTAAATTTTAAAATAAAGCACAGGTTAATTGGTTAGAATAAATACAAGATGAAGAGACAGCAGGTGGTTTTATTCAAATAATATTCAATGTAAATATTAAAATAACATAGTCAAAATTCATAAATGGAATGTCTAAATTAGGTGGAGCAATTTTTATAGGAACTGATTGCGATGTTGAAATTCAGTAATCATAATTCCAAAATAACAAGGCGAAAACAAAAGGAGGGGCAATATATTCTACTTCCTTTAAAAGCATTTATATAGGTAACTCAGCCATATTTAAAGACAATTTTGCTTTTGAATAAGGAGAGGATATTACAATCATAAATTCTTTTAATAAATTTATTTTGAACACAGTTGATATATCAAATCCATAAGCAAAGAACTCTATCTATATTGAATAAGCATTATTTGAAGCTGATAATTTAATAATAAATGATATTTACTCTAAAAATTCTTAAAAAGGTGCTGGAATAACATGTTATTATTGCCAAGGATTTGATATTCGAAATTCTAAATTCAGTAATTTAAGATCAAATTTGGGTGGGGCTATATACTTAATTGAGTAAGAAATAAGTAAGGGTACAAGCTTCAATGATAAGTATTAAAAGTTTCAGATCATTAATTCACTCTTTAGCAACTGCACTGCTAAATAAGGGGGAGCTTTAATGCTAGATAATGCTCAATCAATCATATTAAAAGATAACAAATTTATAGGCAACAAGGCTATAAATATCCCAGAACTTGCAATATAACCAATTGATCCTTTGGCAGGAGGAGCTATTTATTACTCATGTTCTGAATCAGTCTTAAATTGTTATCTTAGCTTTTAAGGAACTAATTTATTTTAGTTAAATCATGCTGAAATTAAAGGTGGTGCTATATACTGGAATCCTCTTGAACCCATTTATACATAATCTAATCTTGATTTCATTAACAATAAAGCATTGCAATATGGGGATGATCTTGCATGCTTCTCTCAAAGATTAACTACTTTGAGTTAAAATCAATATTATTAACAAATGATAAAATTAGGATTTATTTCATAATAAAATGCTAGATTATTATTATAGTAACAAACTTAGGAAAAATAAATAATCTAAACTATTGATAATTAATAGAGTGGAGGATTCTTACCGATAATTTACATAGCTCTAATAGATAAATATGGACAGATAGTTGGCTCAGATTCTGCTAGTAAAGTAAAAATAGCAGTATCATAAAGTTATCTGATTGATAAAGATATTAAATATCCACCAATAATAGAGGGAAGTAGAGATTTTTAAGTGTTAGGCGGAATAACAATAATAAATTAAGTGAAAATATCCTCGACTCCAGGACAATAGCTTTAATTATCATTTTCAACTGATGGTATTGACCTTGGTAAACCTTCAAATAAAGAAGCAATGCAGTAATTAGGAAAGCAAGAACTGAGTTTATAGCTAGATTTAAAATTAAGAGAATGTGTGGAAGGAGAACAATTTACTACAGTTGGTAAATGTATCAAATGTGAAGGGAATTCATATTCTCTAATAATAATGAATCAGCCAGGATCATGTGAAGCTTGTCCCACAGATAAAGCTATATGTATGGGTGGAGCTGATATTGGACCGTTACCAGGCTTTTGGAGAAAAAGTAATTCTTCAAAGATTATAAATAAATGTCTTTTTCAATCTGCATGCCTTGGAATGATACCACCTCTTTATAATCCTGTTGGGGAATGCTTAAAAGGATATCAGGGCATACTTTGTGCGGATTGTTAATTAGGATATTCTAGAGATGGCAACTAATGCAAGTTATGTCCAGAAAATTGGATTAATTCTTTAAGATTGCTAGCCATTTTAGTTGCATTGATTATTTTAGTTGTAGTTATGGTTATTTCTACTCTTAATGGAGCGAAAAATACTAAAAATAATACAAGCATTTACATGAAAATATTGCTTAATCATATTTAACTTTTAGTATTGACATCTTCTTTCGATTTTTAATGGTCTGAATAGATTATTAATTTTTTTGGATCAAGTAATTAAGTTGCTGATTATTCAACTTAAATTCTAAGTATTGATTGTTTCTTAGACTCTAACAAAGAGTAAACAAGAAATATTTTTGTCAAGTTAACAATATTTGCAATCTTGCCATTGTTATTAGTATTTATTTGCATGATTTTTTGGGTAATATTTAATAGAGTTCGAAATAATTAATGTTATATTGATTCAAAATCTACATCTAGCCTTGTAATTTTGTTATTTTTGGTTCATCCCAATATTGTTTAGTATACTTTCAAAAATTTTAAATGTAAGGAAATTGATGGAGAATTAAGGATTCAGGATGATTTAGAAATAGTTTGCTGGAATAGGATACATTTATTCTATAGTTACTTGGTAGCTATTCCTAGTATTTTAGTATGGGGTCTTGGAATACCTTTTTTCGCACTTCTTATTCTTTTTAAGCATAGTTAAAATCTTAGTAATACTATAATGAGAGTAAAGTATGGATTTCTATACAGAGGATATAGCATAAATTTCTATTTTTGGGAAATCGTCATTATGTATAGAAAAATCATTATTATTTCTATTTCTGTTTTTGCTGGAGCTTTTGGAGTGATAACCCAAGCACTGATTATATTTATAGTATTAGTATGCTTTTTAATAGTCAATAATAAGTTCTAACCGTTCAATTCGCCTTCACTTAACTAATTAGAAACATTATCATTGATCACATCAATGGTTACAATATATTGTGGAATATTCTTTATATTGGATAAACCATAGGAATGGATTAATAATAATCCTGATGAATCAAAAAGTTCTGTTGCTATATCCTTATAATTTGAAAGGATCTTTTTTGGAATAATTCTTATATCTAATTTGATATTCTTGATATATTGGGCCTATAAAGTGAGCTAAGAAATTAAATAAAAATTTAGATCTAGCTTTTAAAAGATTTACTTAGCGTTATGTGTTTGCAACAATAAAATTAAATATTAAAAGGAGGAAATTCAATTTAATATTTAATCAATTAACAATTAGTATTAAGAGGAGATGAGATATATAAAGAATTGGTTTATAGAAAAAATGAAAACTCGTAGCACAAAGTAGATCGAAATACTTCTTACAAAGTAAATGCAATTTCTGAAATAAATTAAAGAAAATACTGAGAGAGATTAGTTAGAAAACAAGGCAAGTAAAAAATTAATCAAACGAAAGTAACAATTGTCAGAGTAAGAAAATTTTTATTTTTAATGATTTATAGATCATCTTCAATACTTGAATTGAACTCGAACTATTAATATTTTGATGAATATCAAGATTATTCGATTAACAAAATTCACCAAAGGAAATTAATTTTGATGGCAAAATAATAGGAAATGTAAATAAAAAAAGCGGATTTTATAGTTAAACTCCTAAAAATAAAAATTTGCCTATTAAATATGAATAATCTGACACTATATAAAGTATTGAGACTACATAAAACAATATGAGTCACTTTAATATAAATGAAGGATTCACAGAATCACATAAAAGAATTAAAGTTTAAGAAAATAAAAGATAAATATATCACAAAGCAAACACTGTTATGTTGAATAACAATAAAAATATAAGTGACTATAATTATAATAATTTTGTTTAAAATAGCAGTGGTTAACAGGATCCTTGTCTAAGTGATAATGATTCTGAATTTCTTAGAGAACTAGAATTAATAAAATAAAGTGATTTTGAATCCTAATTTAGAGATTATAGTGGATAGTAACAGAGTAACTAAAAAGGCACTCTAATATAAGAGGCTGAGGAAAAATTAAAAGTTTTAATTATCAAGAAAAATGATAATTTCAGATAAGGGACATTAGGAACTCAAAAAACATTTTTAAATATCTAATTTACAGCAAATAAGAATAATTTAAAACATTCGCAATCCATAAAACTATCTTAGCAAAGAAAAGCAAATATATAAGCTTAAAAATTTGAAGACTAAACAGACTTACCATTAGATACTGAATTAATGGATCAAGATCACAATATTTAAAATCTTTAATAATTGAGCAACTAGAATAATGATTTGATTGGAGAAGCTAGCATAGGCATTGTTAATAATGATAGTTAAAATCAAATCTTAAATAATGCTGGTTAAAAAGATTTCAAGCAAGAACAAAAGGATGAAGAAAAGCATGCCCTCAATATAATCCAAACGGTATATTTAAAAAATGGTTAAGACTAGTTAATGAAGTGTGAGTCAATTGACTCTTTAAAAGAAAATAAAATAGAAACTCCAGGAACTAATGATGCAGCTTAATCCTAGAAATTTTAAAATGAAGTTATTAA